AGCATTAGTTTAGCCAGAGTTTGTTATTTGTGCGGACAAATCCAAACTATAGTATGATAGATTTGGGTGACAAATACTCATCATTGAAAAATCCGAATAATTGAGTCCGATAAGCCATAATTTTAAAAGCCAGAAGTCTGGTTTTCCCTTGTTGTCACATATAATCATTGATCCGTACAAAATATATATGCATCTATTTTGGGTATTGTAAGACGATTTCTAAATGTTTATTCTGACAAATGATAGAAGCTATGTTTCAACCTTTGTCAAATGAAATATAAATTAACAAAATGTGATAAAATTAATGAATTAATAATTCATTATTATTTAACTTGACTCTCCCGTAGAAATATTAGGATTATTTAGTTTACTCAAATAATAAACATTACTATCGCATAATAAACCCTCTTAATTACCTCAGCCATGCTAATTAAGGTGTAAAATATATTGGTAGTGTTGTTGAGAGAAACTAAAGGACAGCTTCTCTCAATAAATTCGATGAAGTATCTGATTGTTCAATTGGATCAGAGAGACCAATCAGATCTCCGTTGAGTCCAGTGAAGGAAATGCTTGAGAACGCTCTAAGCTTCAGGCTTTTAAATTTATAAACAACAGACTCAGCCTCCGAATAATATCAATGGAATATTTATCATTATGTAGTCGTTTAATCCCATGCAGTGTTGACAAGGCTTCTATGTTCAATTATTTTCAAATTCAATTGGACATATGTTCAAAACCAATTGGAAATATGTCCAAAACCAATTGGACATCAAATTTGTCAACACTGATCCTATGCCGCACATAATTGCTAAAATTTTCACATGATCATCATAAACACACATATCTCTGGCTGAATACGGATACTTCAAAGCATCTACGCTGTGAAAAAAAAAACTTGAAGGCTTATTAATTCGAAAATTGCTAAACACTTAAATGTTAGCAGATCTTCTATGAGTTGGGTTCTCAAGCACTTTTAAAGATATGGACGTATTGAAAAGCTTCCGTTGCATTTAGGAGAACCATGTTTTTTTTGACAAATATTAATAAAAACAATTTTTGAAATCACAACTTGAGTTAAATTTTTAAGCGAGTCAAAAAATTCTTGATTTAACTTTTTTGTTAAAATCTATAGCCCAAAACACTAAAATCTTAAAATTATTAGCGTGCAAGGAGCTACAGGAATGCAGTTAATTTCTATTATAACTGGTAAAATGCAAGAGTGTAAAATGATATAGCCCCGATTTAGGTACTGATTTAGAAATGACTATCGTCAATATAATAAGTTTTTTTAAAGACATTATGGAATGCAATGTTAGATAATGCAATTTCAACACTCGTACATTTTCTTATCTCAAAATTTCTTCAAATTCAATGTTCATCTAAGTTGTTTTTAAACCTAACCACTTAAGTAAATTTGGAATTTACTTAAGTAGATGCAGAATTCAAAGAATTTTGTTCATTTGCAACATATACACGTTATTTTCGTTGAAACACAATGTGGAGTTGTCAATTAGTCTGAACTGACTAACTTCAGTAAAATACCGTTCTCAAAAAACACGAACCTACACCGTCAATACTATGACGACTTACATTTTACTTTATTACAATATTAAAAGACTATTAATCAGTAATGTACAGCATTATATACTTGATCTAAACTACAAGTTGTGAAAATTAAATACGAGTGTTTAATTCTATAAAAATGCAAAACTAATCGATCTGTTGTAAAAATTTACGGTCTATAATGAATGTATCAGAACATTTTTGGGTGTCTTCAATGTTGTGCAAGTTATTTCCTTCTAGAGCAGCAATAAAGTTTTTATGTATGAAATAATCTTTATTAAGTTTTGTAAAACTTTCATTAAAATTATCAATGCAGTTGAAAGATATTTCCAATGTATGAGCCATTTTGGGGCATAGCTTTATCAGCTTTGATTTCTTGTATGTCTTGCAGCCACTGAATTCGCAACGTAATATTTGTGTAATTGTTATGCTAAACCCACGCATCGTATTCAAAGTGTACCAATGACCAGAGTGAATACCCGGAACAATAAACATTTCTTGTTATTGACAGGTCTATATAGCCAGCACACCCCGGTTGTACCACAACCATCTCGCTCCGCTTCCCATTCATATGTAATTTTTTTAGCACTATTAGCATTCTTTGCATCATAACTACCTTTAATTTGGACACCAGCTCCATTGACTTGACCTTCAACTCCTTTACTTATCTCATGATCCGATATTATTTCAATAGGCCGGTTGAGTTGCTGTGGCTGTTTATAATCACCTTTTGGTACTATCATTTGGGATATACTATCATCGTTTTCATGTGGAATTGGTGAAATTTTAATCTCCACAGAATCTAAATAATAGCCAAAACCCAAGTCGTGAAGTAATTTACTGAGCATATGCCCCGTCTTACATTCATACACATTAACATAAAACTCCAAAATATTTGTGTATGACTAATTTGCGAGATAACTTTTGCCCAAACAATAACGGTAATACAAAAGTTTTGAAAAAATTTTTTTGGATTTTTTTATCAACAGCTCTAGCTGTAGATGTAATTGTGATACCTTCATTATTTTCATCATTTTCATCACCACTGTCTCCATCATCATTTTCGTCATCATCCTCATCACTGCTCTCAAAATCATCTCCACAACCGTTTTCATCATCATTATCTCCACTATTTTCCTTTTCACCTTCTCCATCTTCCTTCTTTTTTTCAGATTCATTTTCGTCCCCCGAAGACGAGTTAGATGATCCTTTATTATTGAACTCGCTGGTGATGTCATTATCATTCGGTAACCCATCTTGAATACTATCACCACTACTCACGTTTGTATCCATAAAAATCACTTTGTTTACAACTTTGAACTACCACCCTAATAGCTGCCGCAATAATTTGGACCGGCAGATCCTCGATTTTGATTGGCTAACGGCGAGGATATCTTCAAAATTTTGGCCCACATTACAAATTTGGTTACTAAATTCCGGCCGGAATTAACTTTTTAATTTTTTCATTACAAAAATAGAAATTCTTAAAAAATAAGCCCGCATTATGGTAAAATTGACCCAGGAACAATTTTACTTAAAGGGCGGCTATGATTTCATTAGTAAAATTATGAGTAATTCTGGCCTAATTTTTTGATCGTCGCTCTTAGCCAATCAAAATCGAGAATCTGCCGGTCCAAATTGTTGCGGCAGTTATATTATGGGTAATGTCCAAAGACTCGGCGCTGAAATCGGATCTTGGTATCGATGTCACGAGACTTTATTAATTTTCGATTGATCGACGTAATCGTAGAACAATGAAAGTATCGAGTATGCAATAATGACGAAATGTAGAGTTTAAAATGTGTACTATAGAAGGTCTGATTACTAATTCGATATCTCTCTCTTTTCTCTTTACTTTTACAGGATAAAACAACGGTATAGCCAGATATCACGGGGACAAGGTTTACAATAGTATTTATTTTACGAAAATGATTTTGCTTTCGAATAATCTTTTTAGATCAAGGGACGATTTTTAGAGACAAAGGGTATTTGTTTACTAGAGAACCAACTTCTACCATAAAGATTTCGAAGTTTTTGGAACTCAACTTAGTTGCTCTATTCCTTAAGCAAAAAGATAGGTCTTAAAGGACCCCTAACAATCTATATAAAGGTCATATTTGAAAAATTGCCATTATGGGCCCTTTTTTAAAAAAAGGTTATATTTGAAAAGTAGGTATTGGGTAAAAAGGTTATATTTGAAAACTGCTAAT